ACAGCTGTTGAGTGCTGTACAAACAAGTATTATTTAGAGTACAAGAGTAATCTACTCTTGTTATTACCTTATTAACAACAAGGTTTATTCATATTTACTAAAAAAATACAGAATTTATCATATTTTTAATAATAAAATGTAAGTTTTATATGGCTTTGTGAACCTCTTCCACTGTGAGGGCCTAAAATAGAATTTATTAAGCAAATGCCATCAGTTACATAATACTGTATACTGTTCACAGTATTATGTGACATAGTATAAAGCAATATTAAAATTACAATTAAATTCTACACAGTATATAAAATATAAAGGCAGAATGTTACTTTATTGTCCCAATATAAAATTACAAAATTAAGTATGTACAAATAAACGATTATTAGTCTACTGCCAAGTACCCATGCATATACACTTTATATTTGAAAAATCTCTCTTAAAAAATTACAGATTAATATGCATGTAGATTTCTCACCCTTTTCGACAAAAATAAAAGAATTAAAAATTACAGTAGAGTAATATCTATAAATTAGAAATACACAAGTCAGTAAAGTTTCTGTTCAGCCATTTCCTAAGGATTTATTCACTTTACAAGCACAAATTTAATCGTTTTCGATGTTCTTGTAAGAAAGGATATCACGTAGCCAAAGCGAAAGTAGCACTACGATTGACATCAGCGCCACCTTGTCTGTGACGTCACTAACCTCAATGTATGGACCGAACGGTTTTAATGGAGGAATATAAGCGCTTTCGACACTATATTTTCTAGCCACTGTAGTATCGTTCTGTGTTTTAACCTGTACAGTCGCGCCATAATTCATATGTAGAATAAATGTTAATATTTTATTGTATGTGGCCTGGTTTGCAATGATTAATTTCACACAAACTGGTGACCACATCACACATTCGCGTCAATAATCGCTTTGTGATGAATTTATCTGTTAAATCTCTGTAAATTTATTATGGTAAGAAATTATTTTCGTACAAATCTCGCTCGTATTTCAGTGTTGCTAAACAATGGTCCAACATACAAAGAAATAGAGTACTTTCGCGACAATTATACACAGACCGAAACTTATAACTAATGCTTACGTGCTAACTTACAACTAAGGAAGAGAAAGAGTGGTAGAAAAAGAATGGCAGAATGGAGGGGAGAGTGGAATACCCGGGGTTTTCTCTTGCTTTTACAACCTTGGGTGGGACACCACGTTGAACTTTTCACTAGAATTTTAGTCGTTGTCCTTTTTTCTCCGTTATAGGCTAATACTGAATCGGTACTTTCTCTCGCCGTTTCGGTCAGGCCAGTCGTTCCCCAGTCGTTCCTACTTGCGACCTGGAGCACTACTTTTCTTCGTCTGCTCTGCTCTCTTCAAGAGCTCAACTCAAACTGTCCTTCTCTTTATTAAATTATTAAATATGTATATACATTAATATGGCTTACAGCCACATAACTTATTCCGGAATTGGCTGTCCAGACATGAAAATGGCTAAACGTTAAAATGAAACCATATTACAAATTTTAGTTTACAATTGTTATATATTTCGTGAAGTGTCGAGGAGATCAAATCGGAAAGAGTAGGGTGTCTGGATTTCATGAAAGTAGCCTATATATTTTCACCGGAGTCCCAGAGAATAAACATTGTGGTGGTACACCAATATATTTTTTTTGTTATATTTTTATATATATGATTTTCTATCTTTCCTTCTTTCTTTGTTCTGTGTTCCTTTGTCTATACTTTCTGGAACTTTCGTCCAAGTGTGGGTGGTCGGTGACCTAATTAGGAGACAAAGGATTAGAAATAGCCCAGAGGGCAAGTGAGAGACTAAGTGAGTACTTTTGGCTTTGGACCTAGAAGAGGGAAGACCGTCGGAGAGAGGTCTCCAGGTCGGTGTTGCTTCGACTGAAAGAGTCACGAAGAGCACGTAAGAAAGAAGTAGCGTTGATAAGGACATTGGTAAGCCAAAGACAAAGGACATTTTTTTTATTGATTCTCGCATGCGATCCGTCCCCAAAAGGAAAAATCCCAAGACGAAGTCATCCAGCAGCCGCCACCTCAATCACCAACTCGGGTACCCGTTCCATCCTAAAAATATATATCTGTTTCTCTCTTCTAATCTAACTTTCTTTTTCTTTTTCCTTTTCTTTTTAGATATAAGTAGGTTTAAGTTAGAAATTAAGTATCTCTTTGTATCGCGAAAGTTCTTGCTCGACTGTGAATCGAAATAGGTGTTGTTTGTTCTTTTGTTTGAAGTAAGGAATCAGGAGGTCGGAATCAACAAGAACCTTTCCTGTATAAGTTCACAAAAATAAAGCACGTCTTTTTTATTTTACAAGGTATATACCTGTCTTTTTGTGAAAAATGTGCTTACCACGTGCTTATTACAACAACATGAATAATACAGTACGGATCGGACATACGGTTGAAGAGTTAATAAGGTGGATTAAATCGAGAGGGGAAGGTTTCCAGGTTTCGTGGTAGTCTATATTTTCCTCAAATTTCGAATTACACAAGAATAATTTGGATCAGATCGACCCCCCAAAAAAGTGGGATGTGGCTGTGTCAGGGACACGGCCGTGTGTTTTACGTCAATACGTGTACGTTAACTGGTAATATTTTCTTTGAGCGTATTATATGTATGTCATGATTATTCCTTAACAGTAAGAAGTCCTTGAGATCTCCATGTTTTTTACGTTCCTGGCACCGCTTCACTCTATCATGGTGTTTTATGGGTATGACTGGATTGCTTTTGAGAAGTCCTTTCCAACCGTATACGATTTCTATATTTTGATTTGGCATTTCGAAGAGTATAGGCCGACATTGTATTAAGTTTTCTTAATTTTTAACTTTAACACCATATATATTCACCATAACTATTCTACACTAATGTTTTGTGTACGCAATCGATAAATATTGACGGGATCTGTAAATTGAAACTCAAACGAGTGTCGTAGCTTCTAGTCAAAATGTATACTAAACGGAAAGTACGTGACGCGGCGAAACGACTTCAAAATGGCGGCACTTTCCCCTCCGCCGCGCGCGATGCGTCACAGTCCCCACTCCACGTAATGAATTCTTTCTTTAACTATCGATTGGTGTAATTAAATTTTGAATGTAGATGATAGATATGTAGCTGCAATGCCAAACTGTATCACCTGATTTTGTTATCATCAGTTTTCTGAATTGCCTTCCACTACGGAAGCAAATTTAAAAACGTATTCACATGAAAAAAAAAAAAAAACAAGTAGACGGCCGGATGGCCGAGACGGTAAAGGCGTCAGTACAGTATATCGTTCTGGAATTAGTGTTTATGACTATTTTTAGAATTGGTCTTTACCGTTTTATCGTCTTCATAATATGTCAGCTTCGTCCCTCACCATCCGGCCGTCTCTATTGCGGGTCTGGCTAACCGTGTTGGATCTAAAAAAAAGGGACCACTTTAAAACCCACACGACGGAGAGTCAAAAAAGAAATATATATATATTTCACTGAGTAACTTATATACTTATAACTTATACATATATATTTATATATGTGTATAAGTTATAAGTATATAAGTTACTCAGTGAAATCAGCTAGCATTATTAAGAATAGAAAATAACGCCTCTATCTAATTATAATTATGAAATAACGCCCCTATAAATTATGAAAAATCACGAGACCCCAGATTGAATTTGAATGAATTAAATCCTAATTCATTATGACAATCGTGGCTTGTCAGAACGCCACAATTTATCTTATTGAATCCTATTTATTATTAGCAAGGAGTTTTAAAATACAAATATTATTTATTAGAGTTTTTAATGTCAAGCATTTAGCTTTGAAAAAAAAAATAATAATAAAATATATTATAAATTTGAATCGTTAGGTGGCGTTATAAATTTCCTTTGTATTTTCTAGTAATATTTTGCGTGTTTACTGAAATTCGCGTATGACATAAATTAGATATTTATCTGAATGAAATTGTTTACTTATGATTTAATATGGCTGTAAAAGGTAAGATATGAGTAATCGTATTATTATGAAGTAGATAATGCTGTATCACGATAAAAAATGAAAACATCCAAGAGATACTCGTAACCAATAAGAAATATTCGTGTTACTCGTTTCGCTATTTCGTACTGTTACTTTATGGGGATGAAGTTTAACGTGTAATTTTACAATACGACAATTAAATAATGCAATTGATGCGTAGCTAAACACGTTGCCAGAGTTGCTAGAAAGTTCAACTTCTCATTTGTCAAATGCAATCCTTTTAAAAAAGTAGTTTATCGCATCTCACAGGTTAAAAAGTTCGTGCCCTACACATTTTCGAGAATTATAATAATTTATATTTTGTTATAAACCAAAATAAATTTTCGTTTTCGTTTCTTTTTTTCAGTTTTATAATATTCTTTATTATTACATAGGTCCTGTGAGAAAATTTCGCACCTGGCCCAATAAAATTTCAAGCCAGAACTGGCAAAAAGTACAAGGTTTTTATTCCAACACATTTTTTTCCGTAGATAATGTTCATAAGAGAACTATAAATGAATTATAAACATTGAAGTAATGATTTTTGAAATTTGAAGTTTATTTATTTAATAATTCTGCAGTTTCATTTCTTTTATTAATTTATTTATTTTTTGAAATGTATTTTAAATCCAAAATAGAAGAAACTATTTATTTTAATGCTTCTCTTGTAAATTTAATTAGGTTAGAATATTTCGCTAAAACTCTTACGTGTAAACGTATTTAGTGTATAATAATTTTGCCAAGATATAAATTATATATGTAAAGTTTACATTTAATTTGAAACATGATATCAAATTTTTAATTATTCTTTATCATATATCAGCCAGCCATAATATCTGTGGCATATACAACAAGAGATATATTGATTGCACTTAAATGCCAAATATGCGCAAGAAACAAATTCCTAGATCAGTGATTTTCAACTGGGTTGCCACAGAACATTAGGGTAGGGTTACTGTATGTCTGGGTTTGGCCTGGACAGTTCTGGAATCATGGTAATGTCCAGTATTGTATCTGAAAATAAAATTAGTTGAGGGGTTTTTGTGTGATGAAGAAACAAAGAAAAAATAAATTATTTATGTGCAATGATAATTTTATTACTTAATATTTGTCACAAGGATTCAATTTATGTAATCGAAGTATAATCTATCTTTCTTTTTTTTTTTTTTAAATTATGTCTATTGATCTACTGATTTTTATTCTTTATTTGTTTTTAAATCTTTTTTGTTACATGTGTTATTTTCAGGGGAAGATATAATTTGTCTGTATGACATTTCCTTTTGTATATGCAATCTATACTAATATTATAAAGAGGTAAATGTATGATGGATGTAATCTCCAAAACTACTCATTAGATTTCAAAAATTCTTTCACCAGTATTTAGAATGGACCTTCATGGTGGACATAGGCTGTATATTATTCTGTTAAACATATAAATTAAAAGATATCATCTAGGTAAATGTTATATTTTTGGTTTGAGTGGGTGGCGAGGGTCAAGATGTGTACGTATATGAGATGGGTAACCGAACAGCACAGTCGCTTGGTCGACGAGATACATAGTGCACATGTCCAAACTTTTATATTATATAGATGTTGAAATTCCCCCACAGGGGGAGGGACAAAATTAAGGCTTACTGTGAAGAACTCTGCTTCTATTATACTATTTTAGATCCAGTTTTTTGTGTTTTTGATTGCTTTTTTATAGGGTACATCAAGAGAATGTACACTAAGAAGGAATTTTTTGAAATTCCCTCCCACAGGGAGTGTTATACATTTATAATATATACATTTTGAGCCACAGCAACATGTGGCCAGGTACAGCTAGTAAATAACTTTACAGTAATATATATTTTTATTACAAATAGAAATTTATATTTTAAAATGTATTTTAAAATTATTTTAAAGTAATTTAATGCAAGTTCAGAAAAGTTTAGTAAAGATTATTTTAGTCTGGCAATTTTGCTCTTCTCAATATTAATGTCATGAAACAAGTTAGGTGACTTTGATATGTGTTTAGCAAGGACATCAGTTCCATTAGAAAGGGTGAACAATATTCTTTCACCAGAAAGGTGTCAGCTACAAGTGTGAAGTGCCTATTAAACATAAATATTCTTGTAGGAATATTGATAACCATATAAAATCCAATAAAGTTTTTAAGCAATGTATTATCTGGTGGAAAATACAATGCAATAAGTTTAAAGAACAATAATCATTTTCATAATTTACATGCCTATTTTTTTTAATATGTAGATTAAATATATTTCTTTCTGTAATCTGCATTTTAACATTTCATTGTATACTTGTATAGGAAACCTTGCTTTATAAGAAAGAATTAAATCATATATCTTCATTAAATTCTATTCTGTTTTTCCAAAGTTATAGTGGTTTGCAACTTTCAGAATAACAAATTCTAAACATAGTGTGGAAAATGTCAACTTGAAAAAACCAATGAGAAAAGAAAAATTTACAAACTTTGAAGAATTTTTTTTGATGATGATGATGAGACAGTTAGATAGTTGAAGCAGTTAAGGCATCAGCCTACTGCTGTGGGGTCCCAGGCTTGAATCCACTAAGGAATCCCAGAAAGTTTCATGAATGGTCTGTTCTGGATATATCGGACTCCGACTCTCAACACCGTTGTCCCAGTTGTGGGCCTAGCTGAACCCATGATAGATATGCTTAAAACAAGTGCCTGCAGGACTGAAAGAAAGAAAAATATGGGAAAAAATGTCAAATGGCAAGAATGAAAATAATTTGGATTACAATTACAATGTCAACTTCTCATGAGGAAAGAGAGAATCTAATAAAATAACTCTGTTTATTTTTTAAAATATTTCAGAACAATTTTTTAAAAATAACTGATACTTCGTATAGTTCAAGAAATTCTGAACAGTTGGTAATGCTAGTCAAAAGTGTCTTGGATGCCCTGAATTTTTTATCTATAATTAGGTAAATTTATGATAACCCTATTTATTTATTTCAAACCTAAATTTATTTATTTCAAATTTATGGTAACCCTAGAGTGCTGCAATGATTCTTCATGAGTGCCACAAAGTATAATCTGAGCATTGCCATAACATTATGTGTGTATTACTGAAAACACAAAAGGCACAATAACTACAATAATAAAGAAGTAGGTATATTGCAAGAAAAATTATCAAGTTGGAGTGCCGCTATTGCAAATGTGTTGAAAAACATTGGCCTAGATTCTTTTACAGGATGGAGTATACTGTAATGTCTCTGTGCTGTAAGCTAGAACTTCTAGATAAAATATAACAAAATACCTTTCTCACTTTTTCTAGCAAATTTTAATTAACAAACTAACGTTTTCAGTTATTTTTAATAGCTATACATGTATTAAATGCAACAAGTCACTAAGATTTGAGCACTTTTTTCCATTATATAATAAATGATAAGTATAAAAGAATGTCTTATAAATATGGGTTGGCTACATGACCATGTAATAAAATGTCAAGCTGTCATTGATCAAGATTCTCATAATTTATCATGAGTAATTTGGAATGTTTTCTCTCATCTGTTTATGGATCAGGCCTGTCTATAATGAACAAAATCATTGTTAGTAATATATAGTATTAATGTGCTGGAACTTCATCAAAATTAATTTGTAAAAAATACAGAACTGAAGTTGTTTACATTAGTTTTACAGTATGGATCCTTGGTAAAGTTAATGACTTTAAAGTAGTTTAAATAACATATTCTTTGTATCAAAATAAACATTCTAAACCTCTCAATTCCAGCAGAAACATTTTAATTTAACAAGCATTCATCAGGTCACAATAATTCAAGAAGAGAATGTTCATTCAACTTACATTCCAAGTTGAACAAACATTCTCATCTTGAATATTGTGACTTGAAGGTGGTGTACAAAAGAGGACAAGAATGTTCATTGAATTAAAATGTCTTTGCTGGAATTAAAAGGTTTAGTGTGTTTTGATCCATCATTCTAGTTTATCAATTTGAACTTTGTTCTCTGTATGAATAACTGATCATAAATGTTAAAATATTATTTGACATTTGATTGCATATGTCATTTGATGTATGCAAAGTTGTTACGGTCAGTTTGCTATATAGTCATAGAAAATTTTAATACATTAATTTTTTTATTAATTATTTATAAATGCACATGTTTTTAAAAAAGAAGTTGTGTCAATATTTCTGTATTTAAATCAGCATATATTATAGTGAATAAAATTAAAATTATTCTGTTGTTTGGGTAAATTTATTATTGTTAAATTTAAGATTTAAAAATATCAATATTTTGGTTAGAACAGTTGTAAACTATAAATGTTGTCATTCCTGAAAAATAAAAACTCGTTTCAGATATATTGTTTGTGTTCTGAATATTATTTGTTGTGAAAATTTTTTTCTGATTACTATTGCAAATTATGCATTCCTATTGAAAAATACTCAATTATTTTAATATTATCTTGCCGTGATGAGACAAAATGAATGGAAATCAATAAATATTAACTGAAAATTTAAATTGGTAAATTTAAGCAATCTGGTTTATTTAATATATATTTTTAGTTAATAAAAACTTGTTATAAATTTGATGAGTCTAAGGCTGTGTTCAGACAGGCTCTTAAGTTACATTATATTGTATTACATCTAGCCAATCAAAGAAAGTGTTATTTGTAATGCCTTAAATAACGTATTCTTTGATTTGCCAGAAGTAATGTAATATAAGGGCTGTTTCACACTATGACTGACTGGACTGATTGGTCCGACCCGACAGATCCTATAATCAGACCGACTAGTAATAGAAGCATTCACATTGAGTATGATTATATGTCAGTGACTGATTCATAAGGACTAATCGGAATGGGTGTTAGAAATCATTTTAAGTTTTTCTAATTTTTAAAAATATTTTTGTAATCTACTTGTTTAAACTTTGTGGAAATTAATCTTACTTCATTTATAAATTTTTCCAAAAAGTCTAAATAATACCATCTTTCTCATTA